CATTTTAACTTAAGGAACATTGCTTTGGATGGAGCAAGTGTAATTTATAAGTGTAATGTTGGTAAGGTACTATGACTTAGAAAACCTAGAATTATAGCTACAAATATGGTCCTCATGAAAAATTATTTGCACTAGAGCACCAAGGGAAGAAGCAGCTAAATTTGGTACCAGATATTCAGCTCACAGTCTGCAGAAACTAGGTTTTGGGGTGATATTTATAGATTTTAAAATTGTTAACATGTTGGCAGTGTGCAGCATGCCTTTTGAAATTCATTTGCCAGAATTCACAAAGAACGATAGACCTTATCATGCTGATTATGAGCCTAAACTTCATCCTGTAGTGTGATATCAGATAAAATCCCTAAGAGCTACATAATAGTTTTTTTCAACATAAAGTATCACGGTAACAGGGCCCAATGTGAACCTATTGCTACTGCTTTGGACAGATTTATTTTCTGAAAGCAGAAAATAAATTTTACAATTCATCAAATAGTTGGTTAGAATCTCTAACTGTACACCTTTTAAAACCTGCTCCACATTGGACTCTAAACAAAGGAAAATTGGACCTTCAGTAACTGAGGAAATAAACTCTTTTATTCATTCATGAGTACAGCATAAGCTCCAGTCCCTTTGGACTTTATTTTAGGCCTTGCTGTAATATAACAAGATATAACATTGTGGCTTTTACAAAAGGCCATTCTATTTTTTTTTTTTTTTCAGTAATTCTTACGTCTTCAGAAGCAGAGCTGTCAGAGTACACTACCTTCAATTGTTTGATTGTTGTCATTATTGTTTTTCCCCAGTTTATGCTAATATTTTATTTGTGGATAATCTTTTACATTTTTCAATGCTGAATATGGACACCAAAGAACCTGAAAAAAAGTTATCTTTTTCAATTGAATGTGCACAAATTATAAGACTTTGGAAAAGAGGGGGGAAAATTTTTTTAACCATAAACCCTTAGCACCACAACCTCTGAATTTATATATGATCTGTATTATCCAGTTGTTCCTTGCATTGTTTCAATGTAGCATTTGCTACAATGCTTTCCACCAACAAAATACAATAGTTTATGTACAGCCCTAACAGCATCTTCCATAAAACTCAGACTCATTGCCATCAAGTTGCTTGCAGCTCATTCTGCCCTCTCCATCTTTCTCCCGTGGGACTGCTGACGGATTCAAACTTCCAGAAACACATAGCCACTGGGTTTGCAGCTTGACTTTACTAGAACTACAACATCAGAGCTCCTCATCTTCCATAAAGTAGATGTTTAATAAACGGCAGACCCTTTCCTTTTGTAAAATTATATTAATTGAGCGGGAATTAGTTTTCTTGATTATAACAAATATACTGACTTTTTTTCAAAATTAAAAATTCATATTGACAAGTTGGAAAAAGGGGGAGGGAATTTATAGATAGAGTGTATATTAACAGGTGGCCTTGAAGAAAGACGAAAAGAGTTCTTGAGTAGGAACAGTCCACTGCCTTTGAGTTGAGACCAATTCATAGGACTAATTCATGAAGTTTCTGAGTCTAAATCTTAACAGCAGGAAACTGCGCATCTTTCTCCTTCAGAGTGGCTGATCAAATTGAATCACCAGCCTTTCTGTTATCAGCACAAACATGCTAAACCACTAGAGTTCCTTATTCACGTCTCATGTGTCCCCAGAATCCCAAATGTTGTCATCTCAGTTAGAAAGAGGTGATAATCTAGGTATGATCCACCCCAGGGCAAAATTCCTCTCCTGTGGTTTTTTGAAACTAGAAAACAGCTTAGGTGCTCCCAGAATGCAATGATGAGGAAAAACTTGCAACACCAGTTTTCTATTTCCCATGCAAAAAGAGAAAATGAAAGTGAAAAGGAGCTATCAATCTTAAATCATTTCAAAATTGGTTTCAAAGCCTGGAAGTAATACCCAATGACTAACGATTCTGCTCTTTGGACTCTTACTTCTGTGTGCTTGAAGCTATTCTTCCTTTTTCATGGAAAAAGGAGTAGGTTTATCAGCATACTTGTTGCTTTTGTAATTTTGCAGCCTTCTTTTTTTCCTCTCTCTCTCTCTCTCCTTTTCCACCCAAGGTAACAGTATTTCTCCTTTTAAATCATTCTCAAGAATATTCTGGTTTCCCATGTTTGTTAACAAGATTCATTCCATTAGATAGAAAAATGCTCTACAGATCTTTCCTGGTTAAGACTTCCTCTTTTCCTGACTTCTCTTATATGATTGATGATACCTATATATATCACGTAACTAATTTCTTGATTAAATATAATTTATGACTAAATATCCTGACTTTTTTGAGGCTTTCTTGGTATGGAGAAAGGATACATCCATGGCGCACACTTTTCCTATTTTTTTTATTTCCATTCATTCATTGTTGCATTTTTCTCCCCTCCCAACCCCTTTCTTGGAAAAGTAGAAGAAAAATTTTTTCATTGTTTTACAAACCCTCACTCCAGGTCCACTCCACTATGCAGCCTTCGCTCTGGACCCCCGTCATGACAAAAATACCTAATCACATTCCCTTTTAAACAGTTTTCTCCCTCATCTGATTCAATGCAGTATACTTTATTTAACCCATCTTTCTCAGTCTCCCCCCAACCCCAATGTCAGTCCTGTTTTACAACAGTGGTGCCATGCAGTATTGTGACTGAGATACTTCACTCAGCATAATGCCCTCCAGGGTCACTCATTTTGAATAATATTGCTTGAGTTCCTTGTTTTTCAATGCAGCATAGTATTCCATTGTGTGAATATACCACCACTTCTCCATCCATTTGTTTGTTGATGGGCGCTTAGGTTGTTTCCAACTCCTTGCTATTGTGAACAAAGCCGCAAAAACATGGGTGTGCATATATCTGCTTGAGTGGCAGTTATAGCCTCTTTGGGGTATATTCCCAGTAGTGGAATTGCAGGGTCCAATGATATTTCTATTTGCAACCTTTTGAGAAAGCACCATACCGCCTTCCACGGTGGTTGCACCAACTTTTCCTAATTTTAAACCATGTTCCGTGTTCGCTTGTTCCTTTCAGCGAACAGCTCCATGCTCTCCGTAAGAACTGTTGAGTAAAACAGATCCCGTCCTTGACTTAGGAAGTACTTAGCCTATTTAGATTTTACTTTACAATCTCTTGTCATATTTTTCTATAAGCCACAGAAGAAACTGGACTGTAGTTTTAACACTATGAAAATCTCTTCACATAAATATCCAGTTTATCATTTGCAGACTTTTCACATAGCCAAACTATGAAACACAATTCAGCTATACGTTATGCCACTTTGTAACAATGGTCTGCTTTCCTCCAGTTTCCAGCTTCCTGGTGTTCATTTGATTCTCACCAGCCTCCATTTAACTCCCTGTTTTTGTTTTTGGTTTTATTTTTTTTAACAAATGAAAACGTTTATTAAGGCAATAAGATAAAGGCATGGGTAGTGAAAAATGGGCCGGCCATGCAAAGGAGTGAAAGTGAAAAAGAAAGAAAAGGGATGACTGGGAGAGGACACTGGAAAGATAGGGGTGAAACCAGACCTTACAGCATGCTGTCAGCGGAAAAGGAGAGATGAAAAGCTAATCCCCTATTTCTAACAATAGTCTGGGTGTGGTGATTTAGGTATTCTCTTAAATGATACAAGTTTTCCCAATTCCAACAATAACACCCTCTTTCAGGTACCAGAATCTTCTTGTTTCTATAACAAATTACCCCCAATGAATGACATGAAGTTATTAAAGTTCTGAAGGTCAGAAGTGAAAAATGGGCTGGCTAGTATATGATTCTTTAGGAGACTAAGGGATAATTTGTTTTCTTGCCTTTTCTACTTTTTAAATACTGTCTACATTCCTTTGCTCATGGCCTTGCATGTCTCTGACCTCAGTTTCTCTTGTCACATTTTCTTGTGATTGCATTAGCCTCCCCCTCTGGATAACATTCCCACCTTAGGACCCTTAACTTAATTACTTCTGTAAAGTTCCTTCTACCTTCTAAAGTATCAGACTCATAGATTTTGGGAAGTAGGATGAGAACTCTTTGGAGGACTTATTCTTCAGCCTACCACATTTGGAAAACTGCTTTACTCAATGTGCCATAACTTTAAACATGATCGTTTAGGTGCCTTTAATACAGTGGTATAATGAAATGGCATAGAACACATCTTTCCTTTTTTTTTTCACCTTAAAAATTCTGTTTTAATGTTGTCCATTCATTTCTTAGTCATGTAATTAGAACATATCTTTCATTGTGACAAAAACAAGGATCCCAGAAATGTTTTGTGATCTCCAGATTATCTCACTATGTGCCATTCTTTTCCTATCCGCTCATAGTTTTATTACGGTTATATGATTATTAAAATTTCAGACCTCTCCTGTCAGAGAAAAATATCATGGCATTTGTTGGGAAAGGGTGTTATGCTACAAAAGATGTGTGTTCAAGTGAAGATGAAGTGGTATCCTACTAGCAAAATTGTGGTGTGTTTGGGTGGCATGAATGATTCTTACATACTCAACTACTAACTTCAAGATCAATGCTTTGAACCTACCATGGAAGAAAAGCCTGGTGATCTACTTCCATAAAGATTACAGTCACGAAGATAACAATGAAGCCATTTATGCTCTATAACACCTACTCATCGGGACTCAGAATTGACTGAAAAACAGTGGGTCTTGCTTTGTTGGTAATATTTGACACTGGATGATGAAGTCCCCCACTTTGCTGTAATATAGAAACAGTTCTGATTCTATAATACATCTCAGTTAAGAATAAAGCAGGCAGTTTATGTCCAGTGATAGAAATTTCTTGGAGTAAACAAAGTTATTGTCTTTAATAAAATGTACACTTTGCCATATTTATATTAGTGGCCATGTTGATGATTTTGAGCTATTGCTGGATAATGGGGGCAGGGGAGAATTCTTTTTTCGTCAAGTGACTTAAAGGACAGAAGATAAACACATCTCACACCTGAGTATCAGAAATAAATGTTTGTTTTGCTTTTCATTACCAGGTTTGTACCTGTGGGAGCATATTTTTGAAAGCTTACTTGATCCCGCTGACAGGACTGCTCAGTGGAGAGAAGGAAATTCAATTTTAGGAAGAACCCACTTCAGGTATTAGTTATGCAGCATTGACCTTTGCTAAGCTGAGGTACAATCTTTCATGTAAATACTGAGAGAAAAATAAGAGTAAGATATTTATAAGAAGTATTTTTATTTCAGCTTATGAACAAAGCAGAGATACATCTCATGAATATATATTCGTGGTTAAAACTATCTTGAACATTTTCCTATGAAATATGGACATTACAAAATACTTATTTGTAATCATAACCATCTCATCTTTATATGATAAAGTTCCATATTTTTAATATTATTAATGAGCATTTTAACTTGTCATACTTTAAAGGAATAATATGTAATAAACTTGAAAGTATTTTCATGTTCTTTCTAGTACAATAGACAAATTCACTTCTTATAATATTGAAGTAGTAAAGATTTTGCTGTATTATTGAAGATCTTATTCATTAAGACATTTTATTTAAGCTCTACTATAGGGCAGCACAGGCCAGGGCAGCGTTCAGATCTGTTGTTCTTAGGGTCACTATGAGTCATACGTTATGGCATCATGTGATTTATGGCATATTATAGAAACAACAGTATATGATTTATGCCTTATTATGGGAACAAAAACATGATTTAATGGCTTAAATCATGTATTTTCTACAACACTCAAAAATCTATTTTTAAATGTGATTAAAGAATGGATTGCTGAACTTTTTTAGCTTTTACTTTTTAAAAATCTTTTACATATGACTGTATATCTTGTGAAGATTTTAAAATGGATAGATTGAGACAATTGTCAACACCCCCTGCAAAATATTATTTCCAATAAGATTTTGCTTTCTTCATGGAAATAAAATGATGAGTGCATACTTAATATAACTATGCATATAATTGAAGAAAAACTATGGACAAAAAATTTCAGTTTTTTACACAGAAATCAAGAAAAGCTGTAGTTAATGTCAGATTCATTCTCATTTTCCCTGCTGGTTTTTTTTGCTTTTTTTACTTAATATTATTGATAGCATATTAATATCTCATCTCTGTTAGAAGTACAGATGTACATAAACCTTAGAGGATGAGACATCTCCAGTTCTTTTGTTTATATTAAACTAACTTTATAAAGAAGGGCAATAACAACGGCACATAACAACAACATCAATAATATTTGAACACATACCAAAGCTGTTATCATCATCACTAAAATTATAATATTTTAGTATTTAAGAGCTTCATGTTCTGTCCATCATCTAAATTTATTAAATTATTACTGAATTGTTGTTACGTGTCAAGTTGAATATGACTCACAGCAACCCTATGAACAACAGAAATAAATTTTTTCCAATCTTGTACCATTCTCATCATCTCCAACATATTTAAGCCCATTACTGCCATCACTGTGTCAGTCCATCTCATTGATGGTCCATGTCATTTACTGACCCCTCCACCTTTCCAAGAATTATGTCCCTTTCTGAAGAGAAGCCCTTATTAATCACATGCCCAGAGAATGTGAGACAAAGCTTCTCCATCCTTGCCTCCAAGGAGCACTCTGGCTTCACTTTCTCAAAGATACTTTTTTTTTTTTCAGTCCATGGAATATTCAGTATTCACTACTCTAGCACCACAACTCAAAGGCATTGATTATTCTTCTGGCATCCTTATCCATTGTCCAGCTATTAGAGGCATAGCAAGTGATTAAAAAGACTGTGTCTTCAATCAGGCGCACTTAGTCCTTAAATTAACATAATTGCTTCTTAAAAATTTGGAGTGGTCCCTGACTGCACAATTTCCCAGTGCAATACATCTCCTGATCTACTGAGAGCTAGCACCAGGGGTGTTGATTGTGGAACTCAGACTGATGAAACGTTATTGACAATTTCAATCTTTTCTCCATCTATCATGATAGTGCTTATCAGCCCAGTGGTGAAGATTTTTATTTTCATGATGTTAAGATGTAATCCTTATTTAAGGCTAGATGCAAGTGTTTTGGCTTGTTTTGTTGTTTTTTCTTAATTAATTTTAATGAACATTTACAGAGATTTTGGATTTCCATACATTCATTGTTGCATTTTTTGGACACAAGAGTTTTAAGTCCACCTAACTTTCTGCAAGTAAAGTTGTATCATTGTAATAATGCACACTGTTGATAAGGCTTCCTCTGATCCTGATGCCACATTCTTCTTTGTAGAATTCAGCTTCTCAAATTATATGTTCAGCATATAGATTGGGAAAAAAATGGAGAAAGGTTATATCCCTACAGCAGATTTTCCCAGTACAGTTCATCTTTTGATTTCCTGACTGCTGGTGCCAAGAGTATTAAGAGTGTTGATTGTGGAGCCAAGCAAGATGTAATTGTTAACAACCTCAATCTCTTCTCCATCTATCATGGTGCTGCCAGTTGGCCCAGTGGTGAAAATCTTTGTCTTCTTGATGTTGAACATCAGTCCATATTGAAGACTACAATCCTTGACCTTTTGCAGCAACCACTTAAGGTTTTCCTCAGTTTCAGCAAGTAAGGTTCTGTCATCTGCATAATGTAGGTTGTTGATAAGTCTTCCTCCAATCCTGATGCCACATTTTTCCTCATAAAGCCCAGCCTCCTGAATGATCTGTTCTGTACATAGATGGAGACAGGATGCATCCTCCTTTTCTGATTTTCTAAGTATGCAGTGTTTCCTTGCTCTATTCTGAAGACTACTTCCTGGTCCATGTACAGGTTTCACATGAGTACAATCAGGTGTTCTGGGATTCCCTTTCTTTTCAGGGTTAACCACAGTTTGTTGTGTTCCACATAGCCAAATGCCTTTACATAGTCAATGAAACATGGATATTCTCCTGGTCCTCTTTGCCTTCTGCCAAGATCCATCTGACATTGGCGATAATGTCTCTAGAGCCACGACCTTTTCTAAACCCAGCTTGTATTGCTAGTGGTTCTCTGTGGATGTACTGTTCGAGTCATTTTTGGATAATCTTCATCAGGAGTTTGCTTGCTTGTGGTATTAGTGATAAGGTTAGATAATTTCCACAGTCTGTCAGGTCACTTTTTCTGGAATGGAAATAAATATGAATCTCTTCCAGTCAGTTGGCCAGGTAGTTGTCTTCCAGATTTCTTGGCATAACCTAGTGAGCATGTCCAGGGCAGCATCTGTTTGTTGAAATATGTCAATTGGTATTCTATCAATGCCTGGGGCCTTATTTTTTTTGCCAAGTCCTTCAGAGCAGCCTGTACTTCCTCCTTTATCACCATTGCATCTCGATCATATGTTGTTTCTTGAAATTCTTCTCTGTCAGCCAATTTGTGCTAAAAATGATAAGGCTCTAGCACATTGTAAAGAATCTAGGACTAGTATGACTAAATTTAAAATAGATTATGTAGGATTTTTTACATTTGATATGTAAAGCTTTAAAATATTTCCATTCTTTGTTCTAAGCAACACATAATGTGAAAGTGTGTTATAAAACCTGCCTTAATTCTATCATGATAACTTGGAAATAGTGTAAAACACAAAGATTAATTCAACAGCTTGCCACTTACCTACCAGCCAGAACAAATTTTTGCTCTCTGTCACCTTTGCTTTAGATGTTTAACTTTCTTTTAAAACAAATTAAAATATCTCTAATAAAACTGAAAACTTGTACTATTTATCTCCTCCTTCCTTCATAGACACAGTGACTATCAATTTGTTATGTATCCTTCCTTACAAATTTTTACATTTATATTTATACCTGCTTTAGCAGGTATATCTAGCATATCTCCATATACTTTTCCATACACATGTAATTATCATATTTTGTTGAGTGTTGCTTGCTTTTTTATTTAACATAAAATTTTTGAGACATAACACTTCGTAGAATGTTTATAATGCCACTTGATTCAGACACTTCATTTAGTTGAAGAGTGTAATAGCATGTTGAAGATTACTGACACTAATTGTAAACATCTTTCTGGTTTGAACTGTACCCTTATTTTCATATTCTAATGTTTGTCTACCCATTTCTAATTTTGAATGTGCTTAAAACCTTTAAAAAGCTAACACAGTTTTAATTGCCACGTGCAAATTGATCTGTCTATAACCAAAACTTCCCATTCTATAGTTACATCCCATCTTCCAGACTTGTTCTGAAAAGTTTATGCAAATTACATTTCTGGAAATAACATGGATTAAGTCTCACTATAGATTTTATTTTAAATTACTAGCAACTTCTGATACCAAATAGCTATGTTAATTGACTGTTTTACTTTGTTGTGTTTTTCTTTTTTAAATAGCTTCATCACTGGTCCAGCTGTAGCCCCAGGGTACTTCTCCTTTGATGTGAACAATGTGATACTCGTTTTAAATGGAAGAGAGAAAACAAAAGTCTTTTATGCCACTCAGTGGTTACTCTATGCTGAAAAGCTCGTGCAAACTAAAAAACTACAGCATCTTGCAGTTGTTTTGCTTGGAAATGAACATTGTAATAATGAATGGATAAGCCAGTTCCTCAAAAGAAATGGAGGTTCTGTTGAGCTCCTTTTCATAGTATATGACAGCCCCTGGGTTAATGAAGTGGATATTTTCCAGTGGCCTCTAGGAGTAGCAACGTAAGTATGAAATATTACACACTTTTCTGGATTCTGAGGCCTGAATTTCAAGTCAGGAAGATTATGTATTAAACTTGCTTACAATTTCATTCTTTTGGTTTCATTAAGGACAAGTATAATCTTTCCTTGAGGCAAAAATGCGGTTTGGTCTCCTGCTTCAGTGTTATTAATGATGCTTTTAGAGTGTTTTATCTTTCTACAAAGGCAACAGATAAGCAAAATACTTGTTTCTGTTTTAAAACCTGAAAATATCAGTTAAATTCTCAGGTGTATCACAAGTGTATTAAAGAAATGCTTAGCAAAAAGGCAGATGATTGTTGTGGTGGTTATGTGCCATCGAGTTCCTTGTGTACAACCCTGTGCTACCCTGTGTACAACAGCTCTAAATCCTACTCTATGCTGAGCCAACCTTATTATCTGTGACACATCTAATCCCATTACCCCAGTCACTGAATCAATCCATCTCCTCGAGTGTCTTCCTCTCTTGCACTGTTCCTCCACCCTTCCAAACATGATGTCCCTCTCCAAGGACTGATCCCTCTTAAGAACATGTCCAAAATATGTCAGATGGAGTTTCAGAAACTTGCCTCCAAGGAGAAACCTGGTTTCACCATCTACAGGCCAAACCTGTTTGTTCTCCTAGTAGTCCATGGTATATTCAATACTCTTCCCCAGCACCATAGCTCAAAGGCATCAATTCTTCTCCTATCATCCCTACTCATTGTCCAGCTCTCCGATGCATAACAAGTAATTGTGAACAGTATGGCCTAGATTGGGTGCACCTTAGTCTCCAGACTGACATTGTTGCTCCTCGGTACTCCGGAGAGGTCCCTTAGAGCAGACTTTCCCAATTCAATTTGTCTTCTGTTTTCCTGGCTGCTGATACCAAGAGTATTGATTGTGGAGCCAGATAAGCTTTCTTAAAACACTTACAGAATCTGTGTCATTTGTAGTTGGGGAGAGAGGACAATACTACCTTTAAAATTTACCTTAAAAGTAGTAATACTAAAAGTAAAGCACATTGAACCTTTAGGTTTGGGTATATTGTAATATGCTCAGATCTGCCACTAAGACTGGTTGAAATTGCACAACTCTAGTATGTAAAATGAGAAGTCATCTCCCATACTTTGGCCATGTTGTCAAGAGGGACCAGTTCTTGGTAAAGCAGACATCGTGCTTTGAAAGGTAGAGGGTCAATGAAAGAAAAGAAGACCCTCCACACATGGATTGACACAACGACTGTAACAGTGGGCTTGATCATGGTGGAAGTTGTGAGGATCTTGCAGGATCAGGCAAGGTTCATATCTGTTGATAAGGTCTCTATGGGTAGTTATCAAATCATGGCACTGAACTATAATACAACAAGGTTTCTCAGCATAATTGGTTTATATAAATTGAAAATGGTGTTTTTTGTCTTTCTTTTTAGGGAAGGGTTTATTGCACAGTTAATTAACTTTTAGAGGAAATTGCCCCTGGTATATAAACTTGCATTTTTTTAATTTAAATAAAAATTTTTATTTTATAGGTATACAGACTTCTTGAAGGCAGAAATTTTTGTCTCTTTTTCACTACTCTATCCCCAGAGCCTAAAAAAGTACCAGATATAGAGATAATCTAAATTAGTGTTTGTTGAATGGGAGAATTTTTTTAAAAGTCTCAAAAAAAAAAGTCTCACTGACATGTTTTCTGTACACATGGCCATTCAGCACACCACCTGGAACTACTGAATGTGGCCTTAAACTAGTATCTACTTGACTACAGAGATAGTCCCCTGGAAGTACATCATTAACACCTGTTCATTATGCCTGAGATAGGGACACACAAAAAGAATTTTGTTAAGTACAATCTCTGGAAAACCCATCTCTTGAGTAGAGCGTGTATACCCATTCCTCACTTACTAGTGTGGTCGGGTTTTAAAAACCAAATTCTTAATGTGAAAATCAACATTCTGAAAAAGTAGTGAATTCCTAAAACACAACACAAATTTAAAAATGGACTGATTATATCATTACATAATAAATGCTGGACTATATTACTGCCTAACACTCAAACCACTGAGAATCATGGCCTGTGCAAGTTGACCAATATTCTTAACCATTAAAACCATTATTCCTATGAAAGAATTTTTCTTTTACTTTTCAAAGAGAAGAGTAAACTAGGGGGGAGGTGTGGGCAGGGTGAAAAGTGCAACAATAAATGAATGTAAATTAAAAAAAAATTGTTCCTCTCACATTTTGGCTTTTGTTATTGCCAGACAACATCTTTACCAGTCAGATGTTCATCATAAAATAGTAAGATAGTATTATATTTGTATGCTTGATTTGCTCTTAGAGGTACAACACTAAATTGTCAGTTTGTTGTATTTGGGGAATATATTGCTCTAATTAGTACAACACTTGTTTATAAGTTTGCTGTACTGAGGTAATATGTGGGTTGCTGTGATGCTGAAAACTATGACACAGGTATCTCAAATGCCCCAAAGTTCACCCATGGTGAACAGGCTTTAGTAGAGCTTACAGATTAAGAAAAACTAAAAAGCAAGACTAGCCATCCACTTCTTAAATAGCAGGGTTCTGAAAACCCAATGAACAGTAAAGGAAAACGGATAGTTATAGTATTAGAGGTAGAGCCCAGATTCGAAGTCAGTTAAACTAAAGAAAAATAGTGGCAGACATCCTTTAACAATTGAAACGGAATGTACAAAACTTGAAGTTGTTAAGAATGAAATAGAAGGTGTGAATGTCAACATTCTAGGCAGTAGTGAGATGAGATGAACTAGCTTTAGCCCCTTTGAATCAGCTATACTATGCTGGAAATGAAAAACACGAAAAGGGTATTACATTCATAATCAAAAAGAAAATTTCAAGTTTTATCTTTGAAGTACAATGTTGTGAGTGATAAGATACTGTCCACACACATTCAAGGAAGATATGTTAATAACACTCCTACAGCTAATGCATCCTCAACTTCTCCAAAGTACTGAAGAGCAGTGTTATCTCTCTGGAGACCAAGGTGCATCTGAAACTCAGGCCATGGTCTTTGCAATCACTTGTTAAGCATCAGAAAGTTGGACAATGACCAAGGAGAACAGAAGGAGAATTGATGCCTTTGAGCTGTGGTGCTGGAGAAGAGTATTGAGGGTACCATGGACTGCTAGGAAAACAAACAGATTCATCCTGGAAAGGGTTAAACCGGGTGGCTCTTTGGAGGCAAGGATTCTGGGACTCCGTCTAACATACTTTGGACATATTGTAAGAAGAGACCTGTCCTTGGAGAAGAACATCATGCTGGGGAGGGTAGAGGGAAAGCACAGGAGGGGAAGGCCCTCTATGAGATGGATTGATTCAGTGACTGGGGTTATCGGGGTGGGAGTGTCAGAGACAGTGCGATTAGCACATGACAGAGCAGAGTTTAGGGCTGTTGTACATAGGGTTGCTATGAGTCGCAAGCGACTCAACGGCACATAACAACAACAACAACAACAGCTAATGCCAAAGAGGAGGAAATTGAACATTTTTATCAAATCTTGCAGTCTGAAATTGACCAAACATGAATTCAAGATGCATTAGTGATAACTGGTGACTGGAATGCACAGTTGGAAACAATGAAGAAGGAATGGTAGTTGGTAAATATAGACTTGGTCACAGAAAAGAGAATGGTCAAATTTTGTATGGTCAGTGATTTATTTGTTAGAAACATCTTTTTTTAAAAAAACACACACACAAATGGTGACTTTACACATGGATGGACTGAACCTGCTGGACTGCGTAGAAATCAGATTGACTACATCTCTGAAAGAAATCATTGGAAAAGTTCAATATCAGTAGTCAAAACTAGGCCGGGGTAGACTAAGGAACAGACTATCAATTAATCATGTTCAAGTTCTAATTGAAGCCAAAGAAAATTAAAACAACAACTATGAGATATCATCTCACCCCAGTCAGAATAGCAAAATTTAACAGAACAGCAAGCAACAAATGCTGGCGAGGTTGTGGAGAAACTGGAACCCTTATTCACTGATGGTGGGAGTGTAAAATGGTGCAACCACTGTGGAAGGCGGTATGGCGCTTTCTCAAAAAGTTGTAAATAGAGATACCATTTGACCCAGCAACTCCACTACTGGGAGCATACCCCAAAGAGACCATAACTGACATCCAAGCAGATATATACATACCCATGTTTATCGCGGCTTTGTTCACAATAGCAAGGAGTTGGAAACAACCTAAGTGTCCATCAACAAATGAATGGATAGAGAAGCTGTGGTGTATTCACACAATTGAATACTATGCTGCATTGAAGAACAAGGAACTCATGCAATATTCAAAATGGGTGACCCTGGAGGACATTATCCTGAGTGAGGTATCTCCTTCACAAAAGGACAAATACTGCATGGCACCACTGTTCTGGTGTAAAAGAGGACTGACCTTGGGGTTGGGGAGAGTCTGAGAAAGATGGGTTCAATAATGTATACTGCATTGAAACAGATGAGGGAGAAAAGTGTTTAAAAGGGATATGTGATTAGGTATTTTAGTCATGACAGGAGTCCAGAGCAAAGGTTGTATGGTGGAGTGGACCTGGGGGACATTTGTAAAACAATGAAAGAATTTTTCTTTTACTTTTCCAAGAGGGTAGTGTACTAGGGGGAAGGGCTGGGAGGGGAGAAAAGTGCAACAATGAATGAATGGAAATCCAAAGTCTCTAAGTTTTCATTGAAATTAATAATAATTGTTTTTAAAAAAAGATAATTCATGGGGCACTCTTGACACAAATGGGTCAGACTAACTCAATCAATATCAACACTATTTGTCATTTTATCTCAGAGAAATGATAACTTTTCTGACCCCCCCCAAAAAAAGTCCATGAGAACAAAAATGGGATTTGAGTCTATCATATTAAGAATAGAGTTGAAAAAAAAAAAAAGAATAGAGTTGAAGCATTAAACACCAATGATCAAAGAAGACCAGATGAGTTGTGAGATGACACCAGGAATTTTATCCATGAAGAGAACAAAAGTTCGTTACAAAGACATCCTCAGACTTCCAGTCTTTGAGATAGAGCTTCGCCTGCTGCTTGGCCTGAAGATTGAGGACATTACTTGAACTACTGCCCTCACCTGCAGAATTTTATTTCTTCATCTCCTTCTACTGGGCAACCCATAAGAGACTTCTCAAAATCTATCATTTTTCTCATTTGAAAATTACCAGAAATAGAGATCCACATAACTGAAAAGAGTGAGCATGACAAATAGGAACAAAACAAAGAAAAGGGGAAAAAGAAATTCCTTTTTAAAAGGTCATTATAAAGACAGAGGAGAAAGAAAAAACCAAAATGAATGTCTGAAGAGACTGAAAATTGCACTAGAACATTGAGAAGCAAAAACAAAGGGAAAACATGCTGGAAGTAAAGAGCTAAACAGAAGATTTCAAAGGGCAACTTGAGTGGACAAAGCAAAGTATTATAGAATGTGGCATCAGAATTGGAAGAAGACTCAACACCCTGCATTTTGCAGATTACACCTTGTTTTATCTTTTTGCTGAAACTGAGAAGGAGGAGGACCTAATTAAGTGAGAAATAGGTATATTTGTAAAATGTTTTTATATAAAATATTACTTTCTGCATACCTTATAAGGATTAGGACAGAGAGTTTTTGTAAATATTGGTGTTGTTAGGCCAGGTCAATAGATCATTTCTCAGCTTGAATCAATTTTGCCCCAAAGGAGACATTTGGCAATTTAGAGAGACATTTTTTATTGTCACAAAATGCCAGTGATAGAGAAGGATGAGAAGCATTGTTACAGATAAGTGTGTGAAGTAATATGAAAGTTACATTTCAGATGTACAATTTGGCCTCTGTTATTTCCAAATGCTCATGAGCATGGGCTGATTTCTACAGACATCTCTGGTATGGCATACTTTTTTTCCTTAAATCTAATGAAAAAGTCTTTATAGAGTTCATTCTGCAGAACTTTTTGCTATAGCAGTACGTTTTCAATAATCTTCCATCTCCTAGTTAAAACACTGGTTCAGTCATGATCATGATGAATGTAGGTTTTTTTTGCTTTCGTTTTTAATTTGAAAGTCTTCAAACTGCATTACAACATATATTAATGGAAATTGATGAATGGAAAAAACAGATCTTTAGGCATATAATTTCATGATAGTTTTGTAAAGTGTCAATATGAAATTCCTTTTTTATTAATCAGTAAATTTGGGGAGTTTTCAGAGTTAGCATGGAATATTACAAATTTGGATTTAAGAAATAATTTTTTACAAAAAAAAATTAAAAAAATATTTTACAATGCTATATCATAGTACTACTTAAAACACTGAATTTTGAAAATTTTTGCCAATCTAAATTGTTAACTCATGTTCTTGGTTTTTGTTTGTTTGTTTGTTTGTTTCGTGTACTTGTGTTTTATAGATATAGGAATTTTCCTGTAGTGGAAGCAAGTTGGTCAATGTTGCATGATGAGAGACCATACTTATGTAGTTTCTTAGGAACTGTATATGAAAATTCATCCAGACAAGCATTAATGAATATATTGAAACAAGATGGGAATGATAAACTTTGCTGGGTTTCAGCAAGAGAACAGTAAGTTCTGTGTTTACTTGATTCATCGATTTGTTCCCTTACTTTAGAATTGTTTTGTGTGGCAACATGAAGTCTTCACAGAAGCATTGTTAATCACATGAATACCAGTATTTCCCAAGAAGTTGCACTAATAACAAAAGCTATTAAAGAAATACAATAGAAACTGGATCGGATACATGTAAAACAGGGAAAATCTCTTCTAATCTATATAATTTAAGAATACTAGTACTGTGATACTCAAATGAAAATTGCTTAAATTCCTTTGATATTTGTTTATCAAATTTTATATATGGGACATTATGAACACCACTAACATCATAGGTTCATCCCTGCAATATTTAGTAGACAAGTTCAGTAAACTATGATTTATATGTAACACTCTTCACATCTTCAGTAACCTGACACCATCCTGGAAACAGGGACATATATATATATAATCCCTACATCTAATATGTTGTTGTTACAACTCATAGTGACCCTGTGTACAACAGCCCTGAAACCTGCTCTATCCTGTGCCAACTTTACTGTCTCAGACACTCCTACCCTCATTACCCGAGTCACTGAATCAACCAATCTCTTTGATAGTTTCCCTCTTTTTCTCTGTCCCTCCACCCTTCCAAGTATGGTATCCCTCTCTAAGGACTGGTCCCTCCTTGTCATATCTAACAACAGTGGCACCATGCAATATTTGTCCTTTTGTGACTGGGATATTTCACTCAGCATAACGTTCTCCAGAGTCAACCATTTTGAATAATATTGCATGAGTTCCTTGTTCTTCAGTGCAGCATAGTATTCCATAATCCTCCCAATCCTCCCAAGCATGATGTCCGTCTCCAGGGACTGGTGCCTCCTTGCAACATGCCCAGAGTATGTCAGACTAAACTTCAGAATCCTTGCCTCCAAGGAGCAGCCTGGTCTCAACCTCTCCAGGACAAACCTATTTGTTAGGTAATCATATTATATTCAGTCAGCAAATATTTATCAAGCAACTACCATTTGCTAAAAACTGTATTAGCCAGTAAGGATTGCACAATGAGAAAAGCTGTCAAAAGTTCATGCCTTCCTGACCTTGAAATGTTTGTTAGGGAAGACAAACAAAACATTTTTATTGTCGGGGTGATTAGTGTGGGGGTGGGGCCGGGGAAGCAGAGAAGATTGTACTTTGGGCCACTATTGTTTAGAAAGGTCAAAGAAGACTTTAGTGAGAAGGTTACTTTTAAGCAAAGATCTGAAGAAGGAGTGGAGAGGAGCCAGGAAATATTTGGGAGAAAGGTGTTTGAATTTGTAATAACAAATTCAAAGCCTCTAAGGCAGGAACAGCAAAGGGCAAAGATGCCCTGTAGGATGAATTAAAAAAATACTAAATTAAGAGAAGTGTAATATAGGTATAGAATTGTTCTAGTCCTGCCTCTTACTTGAGTCTAGAGATGTTGAGCCTGGAGGTGGGATAGGTATCCATCTTGCTTTTTATTGCTTCTGCAATTGTGAACCTGCTTCTCTCTCTTCACACCCTAAAGCCTCCTCTCCCAACTTCAGCAGCTCATCTCATTGCTGTTAGTCAGAACCAACGCATAGTTGACCGACACCACCACCTCCATTGTATTTTCAGAGGCTGTAAACCACCAGAGAGGCAATTGTTCATTTTTCTCCTTCAGAGCTGCTGGTGGATTTAAACCACCAGAGAGGCACCTCCTTTGGGTTTTCAGTGAAACTCCCTGTGGACTACACCACCGTAACTCCCTGATTAGGTCATAGCAAACTTTTATGCAAAATCCTACATGATAGGATTCTTTATGGTCTCTAACTCATCGTCCATATTTTTTTAAAGAGTTAAGATTAAATTAGGTTTAAGATTTGCAGTGTTAGTGTTATGTTTAGAGGTAGATTTTAGGATAGGACTTGCGTTTGCAGGATGAAATTTTAGCAGGAGTTTGGTTTGGCTTAAACTAACTAATTATATAGCCTTAGTAATAAGACTGAGTTTAAGATTATGGTTGATGTTAGAATAAGGTTGTATTTGGTTTGGGGTAGGCTAATGGTTAACTTTAGGGTTTGAGATAGGATTAATATTAAAATTACAAGAGAGTTCTATTTCCAGATATAGTTAAGTTTTTTGTTTTTGTTTTGTTTTTACTTTTTTTTTTTTTTGACAGATACAGTTAAGTTTGAGGTTAGAGTTAAGACTAGATTTAGTTTTTTGGAATTTTTTTTATTTCAAAATTTCACTACATATAGCAGTTTCAGTTCACATTCAATTGTTAGACAAATTGTTCAGTGACATTGGTTACATTCTTACAGTGCATAAACATTTTCATTATTTCTACTCTGATTGTTCTATTTCCGTCAGCTTCATTTTTCTGCTCCTTTCCATTGTCATCTTTGCTTTAATGTAATTGTTAGCCACTTGCTTTCATAGAGGTTTTGTGTGCGTGTACCGTCAAATCAGATCTGACTGGTACAGGAGGAGACTGACCCTCCTTCCCCGGCAGAGCATCTGGTGGATTCGAACCGTGCGCCTCTGGGATTGTAGTTGCAGCTCCTTGCCACAAGGCCACCAGAGCTCCCCTTGCTTTCATAGAGGTGATTCTCATCTTCTTCATCTTTCTCCTTCAGTCTCCTTGCAAACCACCCTGACTGCTGTTCCTTTATGATGCCAAGGAACAGGAGCCTTTAACTGTCTCCTAGCCCAGAGTTTCTCTCCACACTGTTCTTCCTCCAAATGTCTGTTGGTTTGCTCCCACATCTCCAACTCAGTGGGCACATGCCCCTACCAGGAGACATTCCAGATCCCCTGCCTAAAACTGCAACCCTAGCCCTTCAGAAACACTCTCACTACTTACTTCTCTGCTTAATTTTTCCTCTTATCACTAATACTTTATAAACAGTTTATTGATTTGACTTGATTATTGCCTCTCTCCACCACTTGAACTTGAGTCTAAATTCCATGAGGGTGGAAATTTGGAGGTAGGGGGCAGGCAGGATAGAGAAGATACTTAGAAAATTCAAGTTGACTTAATATTATTCATTGAAAGATTTTATGGTTACTGTCAATTTTTTTAAAAACATGAAGTGTGAGTTTTTCAAATTTAGAATTCTTAAATATGTTCAAGATGTCTATTTGAGTAAGATTTTAGTTCATTCTTCTGCCTGTCATTTCTATAATGTGTGTATCATTTCCTGCAATGGACATTGAAAGAGAAAAATCTTTTCTTTCACAAGATATATTTGGTAAACCAAAAAGTAAAGTTATGTTTTTGCTTTTCTAGGTGGCAGCCTCAGGAAACAAATGAAAGCCTTAAGAATTACCAAGATGCTTTGCTTCAGAGTGATCTCACATTGTGCCCAGTAGGAGTAAACACAGAATGTTACAGAATATATGAAGCTTGCTCCTATGGCTCTGTTCCTGTTGTAGAGGATGTGATGACACCCGGCAGTTGTGGGAACACATCTATTTACCCTTCTGCCCCTCTGCAATTGCTCAAGTCCATGGGTGCTCCTTTTATCTTTATTAAGAACTGGAAGGAACTTCCTGCTATTTTAGAAAAAGAAAAGACTGTCCATTTACAAGAAAAGATTCAAAGAAGAAAAGTGTTACTTCAGTGGTATCAACACTTTAAAATAGAACTAAAAATGAAGTTTACTAATATTATAGAAAGTACATTTTTAATGAATAATAAAGATTAACTTAATTATCTTTTGAACTAAGATGTGATTTTTTTAAAAACCATTTTTAATATTGGGAGAGGGTGTTTATAAATTGTTTTCAAAGTACTTTATTTAGTGAAGTACGTAATTTTGACTAAATGCTCCTGTCTTAGTCTGGGTTCTCTCAAGAAGCAAAACCAATGAAGCTTATATGAAGACTTACAGACATTTCAAGGAAGTGGCTCACGTGTGTGGGTCAGACTTCACAGTTGAGGTGTTTGAAGAACCAGAGTGTAGGTGAGTAGACAGGCAGAATCTCAGGCTGCTGGCTTTGGAGAATACTAACGTCAGAGGCTGACATGTTATTGAAAGGCCTTTGTTGCAAAAGATGGTCCCAGACATCTGACTTTAAATACTGACAAGTCCAAAGTCAGCAAGCACAGTCTAGAGACCACAAGCTAGATAGCCAGACATGGGTCTGGCAAAAAAGCCATCAAATCAGACTAATCGTATCTTAATAGATCTACTTGTAGTTCTCCGTTATTAATGTCATCTCAAACTAATTGTCTTGAATAAGATCCAACTCATATCTGACCCTCCATGGTTTTTCCAGAGACTCTGATTCCCGTCTTTTTCCCTCTGAGCTGCTAGTGGATTCTAACCAGCAGAGAGGGCTGGCCTTTTGAATAACCGCTTAACTTCCTACATACTACACCAATAAAGTGCCTTTAGAAGTTAAAATTTACAACACAAAGTTATACTGAATATCATGACCAATTAACACATGACTTTAACCATGTCAGTTCCCATATTGGGCCATTCCTTTGTAGGAGCTGAAAATGCAGTTAAAATTCTACTTCCGTTCATTCGCAAAATGTGGGAAGATTCAACAATTACGTACTCTTCTCATCAATATATATACATACTCTGGAGAAGCTGTATTATAGAAAGACCTGATTTAAAACCTTTTCTTTGCACCTAATTTGTGTCTGAACTTGAGCAATCCACCTAAATGTCCTCAGTCTTAGTCCCTTTTAATGGAAAATGGAGGCAGTGGTATCATACAAGGTTAATGGTAAATGTGAAATAAAATCTAAAGTGCCTATAGGCAGAAAACTAAAAAATAGTAATTTCTAATCCATTTTTCTCTTTTCAGTTATTATAAGACTAAATTTAGATTATTTAGCCAATAGTTAACAAAATTTGGAAACAATCATAAGGTATAGTGTGGATATATGTGAACAGATTTTTTACAGAGTTAAATATTTCAATTACTCAGGGTTATATTGGGTCAGATTGAGATATTAACTGGAAGCAGTATCTGATCATAATCCACTTGAAACAAGGTTTGCAACACTCAGAACCACAGGGGTTAACTTAAATCTCTCATGAGTAATTCATCTCAAAACTCAAGTCAGGTCAACATCTTAACCAGTAATCCTTTTTTTGCTAGTTAACATGTTAAATGTCAAAATTATTGGATAATATCATTAAAGTACAGAGTACAGTGAGTCAATTCTACCTAACCATGCTTCTAGCAAAGGCTATCTGTTCTTGGAGAGAAGTGTTTTGATCAAAGCCTGAGTAAGTGGTCATTTTCTTTTCAGGTTCTTGAGGTCTTGAACTAGCATTTGAGTCTCCAGTCTCAATCAGTTGCTTGGCCTGTTTTCCTTTTCCCAGGGATCTTGCATCTTAATGCCTATAAACCTGGGGCATTAATATCAGTGCATCCAGAAATGTTGTCTCTCTTATTTCTGCTTTGCCATAGATACACATCAAGTGTGAGTTTCTCAGATCCGTTCTCAGATCTGGAGCTCCTGTAAAGGTTTCCACATCAGCAGAATAGCAGCTTGAATTAATGCTTTTGCCATCATGTCAGAGAAACAATATACCTGCCAGAACCCTATCCAATTGTATGGGAAAACTGCCCATCTATAGCCCCTGGTACACTGCAGTTACATAAGCATTTTATACAATTGACTCTCCCTTTAACCTTACTTCAATTCATAGCTTTTAAAAAATAATATTGTGGTTTTGGTGAAAATTTACACAGCAGTTTAGGTTTCCATTCAGTAATTTCTACATATGTTGTTCAGTGGGAATGATCATAAAGCTGTGGGCCACCCTGTTGACTGACTGTCTCATGAATCAAGACATTATTACAAAACAACAGTAATGATCGCAACAACTGAGGCAATGTTTTAACTAAAGGAAATACCGAGAACATGAGAAGTCAGCTACAGGACCAGATACTGAAAGAGTGTAATGGAGTAAGCTAGCATTTTGGCTATGAATCAAAAAGGACTCGATGTGAATGACAAACCTGTCTGTCCCCAGAGTTTCCTTGATGGATCTTAATGGCCTTCTAGCTCCAGCCTTCCTGAGTTTGAGGTTCCTTTTTACCTTTCCCAGGTTTATCCTCACAGTCATTTCATTTCATTAACCTTCATCCCTCTCCTGATTATATGAACTGACTTCTAAAGAAGAGAAACTAAAAAACAAGGACTATAAGCATCATCTTCCAGTACCTTATTTGACCTTGATCTTAGACAAGGAAATAAACGAAGTCCAATGCTGTGGAACATTTCTTTGACTGGGTTGAAGAAGTTTCTGGAGTGTATTTTACCCACAATACTGCATCATCTCTTACTTAAGGTGGTACCTGTTTTTCTTTTGGGGTCTAGTCTATTTGGTGTTTGCAGTGCTTCTTGGATGTAGATTTCCCCATTCTTCAAAGTGCCTGGAAGTTTTCTTCTAACACTTCTTCCACAGTTTTCTCAGTGATTTCCTGATAACTCCCATGTTCTGGAATTCCAATCATATGTTGTTCCTTTTGATGTTATGCCACATGATTCTAATGTTTTCTTCATTTTCTTTACGTCTTATTTCTTATTTTTCTTCTAGTATGTTTCCAGTGAAGCTCTTCCTGCTCATCAGCAACTCTCTGTTCCATCTTTTCAATTCTACTTTTTTGTCCTGTCAGAATGATGCACACTTCTGCCAATTTGGTCTTAATGCTCTGGATTGCATTTTCATGCCTTTTCTGTGTTTTCCAGTACTATGTAGGCTGTACCCGCTCTGTCTTATGATGATTTTTTTTAAGTTCTTGTACCTCTTTATGTATACTATCAATTCTTTCTTCCATCTTTTACATTTTCTTCCATAGATGTACAAGTTGTTCCTCATCAATATATTTCTGGATTATTATCTCTGGTGGTATTTGCTCTCTTTTTTTAATTATAAAATTTTCTTTTAATTGCAATTTTAACGAATATTTACAGAGAAGCTAGATTTTTATTCATTCATTGTTGCACATTTTACCCGGTATTTGCTCTCTTAATGGCTTCCATTCTTGTTTCCACCTTTCGCATCTTCCTTTGTAGCTGTTCAAATAACTCCACATCAATATATTTCTTCTGATTCTATCTAGGGTATTAATTCGGTCTGCTTTTTTAGAAGGGTTATTTTCTTTTTCATGATGACTGAAGCCAGCTGCTGCTTTCTTGACATTATAAGAGTCTTCTCTTAGTAGATGTTAGGTTGTTATATCTATATAGTGACCCAGAGTATGGCAATGTTTTGTGAAGGACCTGTATCTTTTGCTTCCTTCTTGGAGAATACCAAAGCAAGATGAATGTTACCCTCCAGAAACCACAGCTCGGACAGCCTGGCCTGGTCCTTTCCACTTGAGCTTAAGGGATCCAATGTGGTTTTTCTAGACAGCAGTGTTTCACCCAACATACTTGTGATATTGGTGGTCCTGGTGCTGGACAGTGGAGGCAGCAGCTGGGTAGTCTGCAGGCAGCAGGACAGTACGGTCTCCAAGCAGCGGAGGTAGCACTCTAGTGCTCTGGGTGATACTGTGATGAGGACCACACTGAAGCTATGGCCCCTCCACCCTGCAGGTATTGGTTCTATCACGAGCCAGGTTGGGAGTGTGCCAGCGCTGAGCTGCAGCCTTGAGCAGACACGCCAAGGAAGCAGTGACTGGAAGATACTCCCAGGCTGGCCATGCCACATAGACCTTGGCGCCTTGCAACAGTGCAATGGTAAGGTCCCTGAGGAGCGCATCTGGAGATTAGATTCTTAGAAGGTCCCATCCATCTGTTTTATTCTCTCCTGGTTTTTTAAGATGCTTGGAAGACTGTGCATATCTTGTATTAGGGCTTCTAGAGTTCTTCCAAGCTTTTCTCTGATGAAATTGCTAAACCTTGGTATACTCCTAGATCTTTGATCCACTTTGAGTTGGTTTTTGTGTATAGTGTGATTTGTAGGTCTTGCTTAAGTTTTCTACAAATAGTTATCCAATTTTTCCAACACCATTTGTTAAAGAGGCTTTCATTTCTCCACTTAAATGATTTTGTCTCCTAGTAAAAAATCTGTTGACCATAGGTAGATGAGCTGATTTCTGGGTTCTCAATTCTATTCTATTGGTCTATGTGTCTGTCACTGTACCAGTACCAAGTTGCCTTGACCACCATGGCTGTGTAGTACGATTTGAGATCAGGGAGTGAGATGCCTCCTACATTATTTCTCTTTCAGGAGTGCTTTACTTATTCAGGGTCTCTTTCCATTCCAGATGAAATTGGAAATTGCCTCTCCCATCTCATTGAAGAATAGAATTAGTATTTATATTGGGATTGCACTGAACTTGTAGATTGCCTTTGGTAGAATTGTTATTTCCACAATACTGAGTCTTCCTATGCATGAGCATAGTATATTCTTCCATTTCTCCAGGGTAAGAAACCAACTCTTAAGTCATAAGTTGTCTTTCTCATTTGCAGGGGGCATTTATGAATATATCTTATTTCTGTACAAGTAATGCCTACGTTATAGATTATTTTGCCAATGGGGCAAAAACCCTACCCCATCACAAACACCCATCCAATCCCAATCCATGGGAGTACAATTTGGCAGCCTACTTCCACATTCAAAATCTGAAAAATCTTTTTTTTTTAATTTTTTTTATTTTGTGTGCGTGTACCGTCAAATCAGATCTGACTGGTACAGGAGGATATTGCGCCTCCTTCTCCGGCAGAGCATCTGGTGGATTTCGAACCGTGTTCCTCTGGGATTGCAGTGCAGCTTCTTGCCACTA